CTTAACAATATTTTTTCCGGACCGGGTACGGCAGACACCCACCCCATGCCGGGTCCACGACCCATCTCGCGGTCACGCGGGGGCCCGTCGCGAGGGCCACCCCTGAAGCCGCCGCCACCGCCGCCGCCGGGGGGCATCATGCCCGGGCCGCCAGGGGGGCCGCCGGGCCCCATGCCGCGCTCGCCGCCGCGACGGCCGCCGTCAGAGAAGCCGCCGTACTCCTCGGCGTAGTACTCGTCGCAGTTGTGGGGGTCATAGGGGCTGCTGTGGCCCTTGATGGGGGTCTGCGGACATAGAGAAATACAAATGGCAAATGAGCTGGGTCATTTTCAGTTCCAGTGAGCGAAGCAAACCGCAGCGCCGACACTCACGTTCTGCAGGAGGTCCAGGATCTCCCGGACGCAGTCCACGCACGTGTTGTTGCGCCCGCAGATCTGCACGACGCGGTCCGTGCTCTGGGGACAGCAGTTGGTGTAGATCTTGATCCGCGCGCCAGTTTTCTGCCGGAAGAGAGAGAGAGAGAGAGGGAGATTAGTTGGGGAAAGATGCAGCAGAAGCGAGAGAGAAAAGCCAGCGCGGCCGGCAACCAGTGAGGTAAACACGCACGAACCGGGCCGGCAAAGTGAAGACTGACAATTACCAGGACGCGGCGAGGGCGGGCGTGAGTGCACACACCACCACACCACAGCCCCCCTGCCTGGCAACGCCACGCACCACCCCCCAGCAGAGCAGCACGGCGAGAGGAGGGTGGGGGAAGCGAACTCGGCCGCTCAAAACCTTTCCCTCGCTATCCGTCACACGCGCGTCAGCCCTTTTACCCCCCCCCTCCTCCCCCGTGCCAACAAACACTGCCTGACGGACAGACTGCCGTGATGCCCCCCCCCCCCCCTCACCCACCACCCCTTCACGCTAAGCGGGGTGAGCGGCAGGGTGGGGGAGGGGGGGGTGTAGGGGTGAGAGCGCGTGTATTGATCTCTCTCGGAGAGGAGGGGCCGGGACGGGCCAGCGGGCCTCCCCTCCCTCCCCGCGCTGCTGGCTTCCTGCTCGCCCCACCCCGCCCCACCCCCGCACCGGCAGCTCGCTGGCAGGCGCTAGGCCCCCCACCGGTCGGCGTCCCCGCGGCGGTGATACTCGGTACTCACATCGCGCAGCTCCTTGACTTTCAGTCCACCCTTGCCGATGATGCAGCCGGCCTGGCTCTGGTGGACGAGCATGCGGAGGTCTGTGCCCTCCCCCTCGCGCTGCACGCCAGAGGTCTGGCCCACACCGCGCTCGTTTCTTGAAGCCTGAAATCAGGAAGCAAAGGAGAATTTTAGATTAAAACAAAGCAACATCGCTCGATTAGAGCTCATGGGCGAAGAGTTAAATATACGTACCATATCGATATGGGGAATAATGTCGTTTATGACACTGACAATTGTCTCTGGCTCTGCACATATTGTCAACATCCTGTAAAATGGGAAGGAATTAGTTGCCTTGAACATGAGCAGGGCAGCCTTAACCATAAGATATAAAGGGCACAGGACAGAACTACATGGGAAAGGCTAAAACGCTCTCTTCTTTGACAGATTGAAAAAAAAGTGACGTGGCCTTGGGCCTTTTCCCAGTTTGCATGCAGCCAGAAGAGAGACATGCGTAACAATATTAAGCTTTAAATTTGAGGGTAGCCAACAGCAATAGCCACAATCTAAGCAGCTTACAGGAGGAAAGGAAGCTAATCCGCCCTCATAAAATATCGAACAAAATCAAATGGATAAGCCATCATTCCTTGGCTGTGGTTTGTTACTTGGACGGGAAAAAAAAGTAAAAGAAAATGAATCCCAATTAAACTTAGAGCGTATTACAATATGAAATAATGGTCACTTTCACATTCCAGGGAATTTTGTCTTAGCCTGTCAAAAATGTAAAATATGCAAAGAAGAAGCCACAGTAAAGAAACACAAAGATACCCTATAAAACACAATGAATACAAAAAATATTTAAGAAAATACAACAGAGAGGGAATGGTCATGGAAAGCTTAGTACTTACTAGAACAAGATAAGATTTAACAGGGTATTTGCTTTAAAAGGAAATAGTTAAACAAAGTACTAAACTTCCCATGACAGAACCTTACCAAAAAGCATAGCTTTGAACATTTCTGCAAGAAGGAGGTTCTACAAAAAGGTATGGGAGCTCCAAATTCGTTATCATGAAAAGGGCGTCTGAATACAAAACTACGGCACAAGAAAACACTTCAAAAGCCTCACAGGGCATTGGACATCCTACTCTGTACTGGGTTGTCCTCTCAATGATAAATGGTTACTGTATTTAACAATTAAATTGTAGTGTATTTTTTTTTTTTTAGAAAAGTAAGTTAAGCAAAGAAAGCTAAGTGAGGACAACCCTAAAGGGTTTTCTACTATCCTGCTAGGTTTAAATTCAAGAAATACGTTAGATTGTTTCTTTACTCGAAGAGGAGTGTTACTTTGTTGATATCATAAATATTGACAACTTTACCGTTCAAAAATGTTCCGTGGTTAATTTGAAAAATAAATTCTTGGGATTGTCCAACACCTCCAGTGTACAAAACATTGTGTTTGTTATGCAGTTATAGAGGCACGCGAATATCAGAAAAAAAGCTAATGGGCATCGAGCAGTTTGAGGCACTGCATTCATGTGCAAACTTCGTGAGCTGATCATGCGCCAATGTTTTGAGGGTATAAATCACCCCATCATCTCATCACATTATGTACAGCTTATTCATTCGCGCACCTCTATAGAATGTGAAACAAGGGATGTGATAACCACACTACAAATACATGTACTATGTGTGTCCACATCATGTTGCTGGTGCAACCCAAAACATGTTTCATGCACACATGCTGTTTGTGGCCTGGTCTCCAGACAAAACGTGGCTATTGAAAATGCACTCGGGTCCCATATCCAACCCCTAATTAAATCAAGTGTTACCAGGCAATTAAAGCAGCCTTAAAATTAATTTTAGAAAGCATCCCGCCATCGATTTTGTCTGGAGCACAGAGTGAGTTTGTGTATTAAAAGAGGCATTCACATGTTTTTTATATTAAAAAAAAATACGAAGGGAGGCTCCCAAACCTGGCTAACCCCCGACCCTACGCTTAAGAGAGAGAAGTAGTGTAAGATTTACCGTTCTGGGCCTGGACAATCGGGGACAGTGATGGTGGCTTTGTACTGTCAATCGACGAAAGGGCATAAATTCCGGGCGTTGGGCAAGCGTTGGACATGGCGGGCAGTGGGCATGGCGTTGGGCGAAGGGCGGGGCCGGGGCCAGGGCCATCATACCATTGGTCAATTCGGGGACCAACCAGGGGCCACGAAGGTAACAAATATGGGGCAAAAACATGTTAACAAAACAGCCTCGGTGGCCACACAACAACACTGCTCCTCTCCAGATCCTGCCCCCCCGGCCTGGGGTCGCGCCTCGGTGGAGCCTTCCAGAACGAGCACCGCAGGTCCAGTCGTGATGGGAAAGACGAACAGTCGAGGGGAAAAAATAAGATCTCATCTAGTATTCGAATGCAAAAGTTCGACTAGTAGATTGAGCGTCCTATTATTTTCGCACAGTTGCTGACTAACCATGGCCGGCCCTGCAGGCATAGAGTCCAAGGCTCTACGGAGAAGCAACTCCAGGGGGAGATAGTTGCAGTTCTGGAGAGAACTAAACATTCAATTCTGATCACAGGGCAGATAACTATTGGCGGGTAACAAGACAGGGAAGACGGGGCGTCATGAAAATTACTTATAGAACACAGGGCATTATCAAGAGATTGTTAATCCGGGGCAAAAGATAATTTAGAAAGGAACTGTATGAAAATGTAAATGGAAGATTAATTGTAAGATTTGACTTAGCAAGACGGCCGCTTCCACACAGACACAGCTCAGTAGGCTGGATAACAGTCTGTGCCACGGAATGCATTATTATCAATTTCATCTATCTACTGGAAAATCTGACAATTGTCTAGTGGAAGTATTTTAAATTCTCAATAAACAAGTCTTAAATGTTGTCTGGATGATCAGAATTAGTCAGCTAAAACACTAATATCTAACAGGGTCATTTTGAAAAGCACTAAATTACAGTTATATTTGAATAAGGAAGCATCACAGGTAAAAAGGTACAGGAATAAATTTGAGATGGGGAATGCGGGTAATGGGGTACCACTATTTTCCGAAAAAGTTAAGAGAAGGCACCGTGCTTCGCAAGGGACAGAAGCCGGACCCGGGCAGCGCGTCCAATTTACACTAGCAATCTCCAAAAAAATTACCGAGCTTATTCAATGCGTGGTGTGACTGCTGAATATAATAATAGTAACGGTGCGAAGCAATATTTCAAATGTCCAACAAGTGAATGCCGTGTCGAGGCCGGAATGATAATAAAAAAAAAAAAGAATTAGTGACCGTCCGCAAACCCGCACCCATTACAATAATTAAATGCTTCCATGTATAGATAGTAAACGGAAGTAAAAAAAAAGTAAAAAAAAAGTGCATGAGTACCGCACCGACACTCACCTCAGTCCTTAGCTTGGTAATATTGTTGCCGCTTCGTCCAATGATCGAACCAGCAATCTAAAAGAAAATCAATCGCAGAAAACCGCACATTGTAAAATAAAAATTTAGGCAGCGATAAGAAGAACATCCATAGTGCGTGCGCCCCCTACCCCGCTCCCGCCAGGCGGGGTGGCAGGGGCGGGCGGAAGCCTTACCTTGCTGGGGATCAGGAAGCGCGCCTCCACATCGTCCGCGCTGCGAGAGCGCTTCAGGGGAGAGCCCATGTCTGCGTGATCGCCTTCTCGCTTCATACCTATGAACCAACAAACAAAAACACCAAATCCGTTAGCCGCTTTGCGAGGAGAGCAGGCAGAAGAGGAGAGCGAAGCGGAGCAGCGTCGCCGCGTAACACCCACGAATCGATAACGACAGCGCGGAAGGACGACAAGTACCTCCAGAGTGTGGACGGCCCGCCTAGCACCGCAGCGCAGCGGGTTGCCTAAACTGTCGAGGGCGGCAGCCTGAGCCGAGCCGAGCCAAAAAGGGATGAGAGAAAACGATCCGGGGCCCACTAAGGCCGCAAAAGGATGAGCGGGGGTGGCGGGCGAGGGAAACGGTGAGACAGGGCAAAAGGGGAGGGACGCCCGCGCGGGTGGTGCGGCTGCGGTGGGCGGCGTGGGCTCTCCGGGGGACGGCTCGGCTCGCACTGCACCCCGCGACGCACACCACCGCCGCCTTGGCCGCCCCGCTCCGCGCTCGACGCCACCCTCCCCCCTTCACCC